TTAGTGCTTCTAGACTTTTCACTTTCATCTGTAGTTGAAACAGATGCTTCTGGGTGTGCAATTGGTGCGGTGCTAAGTCAAAATGGGCATACTATTGCATGCTTCTTAAAGCAACTTTCCACAAGGATGCAAGCTCATTCAGCTTATGTACATGAGTTGTTTGCTATCACCCAAGCTGTGGCAAAGTTTAGACACTATCTTTTTGGTCATGCTTTTATCATCCGCACAGATCAGGAAAGTTTGAAACACTTAGATCATCAAGTCCTCCAAACACCCGAACAAGAGCTCTACCTATCCAAGCTACTGGGGTATAGGTTTACTATAGAATATCGCCCTGGTAAAACTAATCTAGCAGCGGATGCACTTTCCAGGGTGTCTTACATGGCCATTTAGGAAGTACAAGTTCCTCTATTTGATGACATTGTACAGGCTATAAAGGACTCACCTCGATTGCAATAGTTATGTACGAACGTCATTAATGACCTCCTGTCTTTGCCTAATTTTTGAGTGTGTGATGGCATTCTCTATTTTCAAGACTGAGTGGTGGTGCCACATGAAGATTCTAATTTGATTAACCGTATTTTGCAAGAATTTCATTGCTCTATCATTGGGGGTCACATTGGGTCATTACGTACTTTCCAACGCTTAGCTTCCAATTTATATTGGCCATCGATGCAAAAAGACACTCAACTTTTTGTCAAACAGTGTCTTACTTGTCAACATGATAAGGTAGCTCAAACATCTGCTGCAGGGCTCCTTTGTCTATTCTCAATTCCTACCCAAGTGTGGGATTTTATCACCATGGATTTTATTACATCTCTTCCTTTAGTATGTCAATATTTGATTGTGATGGTGGTCATTGACAGACTTTCAAAGTACGCCCACTTATTCCTTTAAAAGTTCTTATATAGCCACCAAGTTGCAGAAGCTTTCCTTCACCATGTCATTCGATTGCATGGTATGCCACGGACCATAGTGTCAGATAGGGATCGGGTGCTCACAAGCTCATTCTGGCGCTCTCTTTGTGCATTGCAAGGCATTAAACTCAATATGAGCTCTACTTATTACCCTGAAATTGACGGACAATTTGAGACTGTTAATCGTTGTCTTGAAATGTATCTCAGGTGCTATGTTCATGATTGTCCACGATGATGGTTGGAGTTTTTGCCATGGGCCGAGTATAGTTACAAAAGTCCTTTTACTCTGCTATCGGTATGATGCCTTTTAAAGCTCTTTCTGGTCGAGATCTACCCCTGTTGATCCGTGGCTATTCAAGGGCAGATACCCTACTTGATGTCCATACTCAGCTACGTGATCGTGATCAGATACTGTCTCTCCTCAAATAAAATCTCAATTATGTACAAGCTCGTATGAAAAAATTTGTAGATCGCCATCGACGAGCTGAGGAGTTTCATGAAGGTGATACAGTTTTTGTTAAGTTACAGTCCTACTCATCAGTGGAGCTTCGCAGTCATTAAAAGTTGGGCTTTAAGTTCTTTGGTCCTTTTAAAGTCCTACGTGTTGGTCCTATTGCATATCGGTTGGACCTTCCTTCTCACGCTCGAATCCATTCCGTTTTTCATGTGTTACCTCTAAAACACTATCACGGAGCTTCGGGGGAGTCTTATCTGCCTCTGCCTCTTACCACTAGTGAAGAGGGTCCTGTTCTCGCTCCTCTTGAGGTGCTAGATACTCGCTCTGTCTGGCGAGGTAACCAGTGGATTTAGCAGGTTCGAGTTCGTTGGGATGCTGTTGACCTAACGTGAGAGGATGTCTCTACTTTTTGCAGAGATTTCTCCACTTTCGACCTTGAGGATAAGGTCGTTGCCACATATGAGGGCATTGACACGTCTCTACCAAATCAGTTGCCACCACCAGATTAGTTGCCAAGTCAGTTATATGAAGATATTTCATGTGGGCAAGGTGAAGCAAGCATCTTAAGAAGCAATTGCGCAAGGAAGGTCACGTGAAAAGTGAGAGAGAATGCATATGCATGAGTTAGTTATATGTATCAGTGAAGGGATTCGAGAGGGGTGTGGATTATGTGATTTCAGTTATCTCTCCTTTCTATTAACCTCTCTCTCTAGTCTCTCTCTGATGTATTTCCACTTCTTGCTGTCTTTCTGTGACTGAACTTACTTCTGTCAATAATACTTGTGCTGTTTATTGCTTACCATTTCATTATTATTAGTTGTTGCTGTTGAGAACGTGACAGTTAGTAATACCAGATTAGGAGAGAATGTGCAATTTCTATCCACTTGTTTATGATGTTGACTAAATCTAGATGTTTTTCAGGGTATTCTTTCAAATGGACAAGAGATAGCTGTGAAGAGGCTTGCAGGCCTTTTGGGCAAGGTGTACAAGAATTCAAAGATGAGGTTCTTGTTATAGCCAAGCTTCTTCAACACAGAAATTTAGTAAGATTATTAGGATTTTGCTTGGAAAAGGAAGAAACGATACTCATTTATGAATATGTGCCTGATAAGAGCCTTGATTATTTTTTATCTGGTATGGCATTTCCAATCAATAAGTTCTATGAATTTTGTTCTTATTGAAACCAAGTAATTAATGGATCAAGATCGTCTGACTTATATTGTAGATCCCCATAAATAACGACAATTATCCTAGTCTAAGCGTTACAAGATTATTGAGGGCATTGCTAAATGAATCCTTTATCTCCACGAGGATTCTTGCCTCAAAATTATACATCGAGATCTCAAATCCAGCAATGTTATATTAAATGATAAAATGAATCTAAAAATTTCTGATTTTGGTATGGCAAGAGTTGTTACAGCAGATTAAACTGAGGAAAATACTTGTACAATTGTTGGGACATAGTAGATGGAAACGCAGTGCATTGCAATGCGATTAGTGAACGGCGAAGGACCCATCACACACCCTGTGCTTTGAAATATGGGCCTTTGTTATTCTTCAAGTTGGTCTGATTGATTTAGTCAAAGTATTGATTCAATGTTTAATGGTTAGTTTATGATCAAGTTAATCATAAATTCACAATGTATTTTCCAGTCTTTTTGGATTAACTCAACAGTCTGATCTTTTTTATTTGTTTTTTTTTTTAACATTGGTTTATACCTGAGTTAAAATTAGACCTTAAGTGGCCCAGACAAATCTACCCACACACACACACACTGATATTGATGAAGATTAGGCTGAAAAACGAAGGAAAACAATGAAAAAACCGCACAAAATCAGGCCACGCCATATATTGGGATCACGACAACTTTTATAAAGTGCCAAAGAAGACAACCCTTCATCTGATAGCTGTGTGAGAATAATTTGTCTCAAGGAAAAAAAAAAAAAAAAATCTTTTCCAAAGACTCCTTGAAGACCAACAAAAGCGACATCTTCAATTCTGACATTATTGCAACCTTCTGCAGACTTTTTCTGGCTTAGAAGTCTTCTTTTTTCTGAAAATAATAGTTACTCGAATCGTAATTTTTCTTTTTGGTCTTTTGATGCTTATCTTGTAATTTAAACTTTTTTGTGTGTGAATATATTTTTCTTTTTTTTTATTAAAAAAACTAAATAGTAAATGCATTAAAGTTCTACTAAAATTGTCAATTACTATTAGATAGTTGTTAATTATTGATACTTGATTGTTAACTGAACAATTAATCCCACTAATAATTGTCCAATTGTAATTGACAATTTTAGAATAATAAATTGACAACGTCAAGAAAGATATAAGACATAAAAGTAATTTTATAATTTCATGAAACTCTAATGTATTTTGCTACATTCATTTGGAATCTATATTATGGATTGTCTTTTTGGATATGATTTTGAAGCAAGCAATCCAGTTTCTTCCCTTCTGACCACTATTGGTAGACTTTCCCAGGCCTTTAATAATGATTTCGTTCTTAAAATTGCAAATCAATTTCTAAACGTTAATTCTTGATTTCATTGCTTGCTAGATAACTTTGACTACAGTAGGAAGGTACAAGATTGAACAATATAGATGAGGGAGAATAATAAAGAGCTCTTAAAAGAATTAATTAATTTAAATTAGGTTTTAAGTGTTAAATTTTAGGAATTTGCAACTTAATATCTCAATTTTATAACTTCATTGTGATGAATTTGTAATTGTATTCCAAATTTTAATAAAAAAATATTTTTTTTGATTCTTCAATCATATTAAAATCTAGAAAATAAATTATAAATTCATCATAATGCAGTTGTAAAATTAAAGATTACGTTATAAATTTTTAAAATTTAATATTTGGGACCTAAATTAAATTAATTGATCATTTTGAGACTTTTTTATTATTTTCCTTGTAGATTATAGAATGTTGAAAGCACCCAAACACTTAAAAACAAGGGTGCCATTTTCTTTAATGTCTTTTAAATGATTAAATGTGATTCCAAGTCATCCTTTTCTTCTGCATTCTTTGTTCCAGCAAAAATATTTAAGTTAATGACATGTACACTGTTATTAATATTAAAATTGATAGACAGTACATTGATGATTCATGCCATGTTGCTTCCCGCTATTCTGGCGAACTTGGTATTGAATTCGAAACAATAGGCGTTTTCTATATCATTATAAATGTACAAGTAAACTGTCTTTGCTTGTCAGGGATGGTCATTGTTTAATTCTAATGTTTTTCAATTTACCTCTGATTGGAGGTTATGGTCATGGTCAACAAAACAATTCATTTCTTCTCTGAAGAGCTTAATTCCTTCGCCGTTCCAGTACAAACAAAAATTCAAACTAATTAGTAATAATTAATACTAAATAATCCAACTCAACTCTGGTAAACAGTGCATCCGCTTCCTGTTTGAATCATTCCCACCGTTCTTGATGCTGCAAGTGCAAGAAAGCCACTTTTAATGTGAAACACTGCCTCAATCATATTTCTCTATCCGTAAATCTTATCATTCAACAGATTTCCTTGAGCTGTTAACCGGTACTACTCACAAGCAGAAATGGTTAATTCTCCGATGCTATTCCTTTTTCTCTGCACTATCTCTTTCCTCTCAGGCGTTTCCTTAGCTGACCCACCATATCAAAATTGTTCAACAAGCAGTAACTACACCAAAGGAAGCTCCTTTCAGAACAACCTTAACAACATCCTGGGTTCTCTGTCTTCCAATGCTTCAATCTCCAAATCTTACAATGTCTCATATGGAAGCGATCCAGACAGAGTGCATGCCTTCTTCATGTGCCTAGATTATGTTTCAAATCAAACATGCCAAGATTGCATAGCCTCGGCAGCACAAGACATTCTTAAACACTGTCCCAAAGCAGAAGAAGCAATTGTTTGGGAAGAGCAATGCCAGCTCCGATATTCCAACAAGGACTTCCTCGGCAAAGTGGATGTCACAGGAAAAATGGGGTTTGATAATAAGCTGGATATTTCAGAACCAGAGAAGTTTGAGCCTGTGGTGAATGGGTTGTTGCATAGTCTTACTGACAAGGTATCTTTCAATGTTTCTGCTAATTTGTATGCTATTGGAGAGGCACCCTTTGAAGAGAAAACAATATATGGATTAGTTCAGTGCACCAGAGATTTATCAGCTAGTGATTGTAATGTATGCCTTAAAAGTGCGATTAGTCATCTACCTATTTGTTGCTATTCCTCAATCGGAGCTAGAGTTCTAAGTCGTAGTTGCTACTTGAGATTTGAGCTATACGAATTTTACAATGGTGCACTTGATCCGAATGATTCATCAACAAAAACTAGCAAAAGTAAGCATTTCTGTTTCAAGTAACTTCGATCAATTAGACTGCATCGAGTTATAATTCCCAATCTGTTGAAGATTGACTTCTCTTGTTAAATGATCACTTATGCAGGTACAACAAGCAAGGCAGGGATGATTGCTGGAATTATAGCAGCCACTGGCTTGGGAATAGTGATTTTCAGTTGCTGCCTTTACTTCTTTACAAAGAAGAGAACTCAGAAAAGTATGTAAGATCGTAAGCTGAGCTAACATAAGGTCAATTCATGTTTCTGAGTTTTTCTTTTTTTCTTTTCTTTTTTTGCTTAACTTCTTGGGTTCTCGTGTTTAGGTAAGGGTGGAGTAGACCGTCATGTGATCGATCTTCATAGCTTTGGGGAGAAAGGTCAATCAGTGTTCCAAAATCACCAGAATTTTCTTGGAAGAAATGACAAAATATCTGAGGATTTGCCTTATTTTGATCTTGAAACTCTGTGTGCTGCTACCAAAAACTTTTCCGATTCAAATAAGCTTGGTCAAGGCGGCTTTGGCTCCGTTTACAAGGTGATTGAATCTGAAGCTTAAACTCAAGAAAGATTAATCAAATTTTCTTGCATATTCATTAGAGACAAACATAAGGTCTGTGGTTTTTGTAGGGCGTATTAAGTGATGGCCAGGAAGTAGCAATCAAGAGGCTTTCAACAGGGTCTGAACAGGGCTCAGATGAATTCATAAACGAGGTTCTGCTGATACTGAAACTTCAACACAAGAATTTAGTGAGGCTTCTAGGATTTTGTTTAGATGGAGAAGAAATGCTTCTTGTTTATGAATTTTTGCCTAATGGCAGCCTTGATGCTGTCCTTTTCAGTGAGTTCTTTTCCTTCACCTTTCAAACCAATAAGATAATAGAATATTCATAGTTTTATCCACTTTAGAATGGTGCAGCATTTGATATTAGTCATTATTTGTGGACAGATACAAGGCAACAAGCACAACTAAGCTGGATTAAACGTGTTGATATAATATGTGGAATAGCAAGAGGGATTCTCTATCTTCATGAAGATTCTCGACTAAAGATAATTCATAGAGATTTAAAGGCAAGTAATATATTGTTGGACCATGACATGAACCCAAAAATTTCAGACTTTGGAATGGCAAGAATATTTGCTGGAGCTGAAGGTGAAGCTAATACAGCTACCATTGTTGGTACATAGTGAGTACTTAGGTTCTAGTATAATATTTTTATATTTTGAAAATATTTTCTTGGTTGGCAACTAGTTTATGACTTTTGTACCTTCAAATTTTTAGTGGATACATGGCTCCAGAATATGCTATGGAAGGATTATATTCTATAAAATCAGACGTATTTGGTTTTGGAGTGTTATTGCTTGAAATTATTACTGGGAGACGCAACGCAGGTTTCTATTACTCTAAATTTGCTCCTAGCCTTCTGGCATATGTAAGTATTAGAAAATAAAGTTATCCATGAGACTTTATCATTTTAAACTTTTGGGCAGAAGACCAGTTTCTCTCTCTGAAACTTATGTATGGCCATTGATTGATTAACTTGAAGAATCATTCATCATGCAGGCATGGCACCTGTGGAATGAGGGAAATGCACTGGACTTGATGGATCCTCTACTAGCTGATTCATGCCCTGAAGATCAGTTTCTAAAATACATGCATGTTGGATTACTATGTGTTCAAGCAGATGCATATAACAGACCAACCATGTCTTCTGTTGTTTTAATGTTGAAAAGTCAATCACCAACTCTTGGTCAGCCCCAAAGGCCACCCTTCTGTGTGGGAAAAATCATTAGTAATGATCATAATGTGCCAGAAAATGAACGTTGCTCAGTCAATAACTTAGCAGCTTCTGATACACTTCCCCAGTGAATAATAGATTTGAAAACTTCCAGTCTAGTTTTTCCCCTTTTATTTTGTAATATTGTAGTTAGATGGTATTCAGTCAAAGGCTGGCCATTCAAGTTGTAACTAGATTTACATTTTTCCTTTTAACGTATAAACTAGGCTAAATAGTTGTCGTTGTCACTGTTGACTTGTAAAAATGTATATAACTAATTTGTGGACCCACTGGTGCATAAGTTTTATTTTTATTTCTGCATCCATCAGATGGGTTTGAATTAATTGATAAAATTCTGTTGTGCACGAGGTAAATGAACAAGTGAGACAATTTTATCAGGAGAGAAACCAGGTTGGCACTCTGGATATCTGTGACTATTGTATATATTCTCTAAACTTCTATTCAAAAAATTAATCTGTTTGAGCATTAGTCAGACTGTAGCAGTTGTTGAATTTTGATTCCAAATGACTGGTCATGCCGGAGCATATGAGCAGAACCAATACCAAACTTCTGTAAATTTGTTGATAAGTATAAAGAAAATTTCCTGCAAGGCAGAAAGATGGTAAACGGTAATTATCATGGGAGAATCTGTGATCAAGCATCATTGTCAAAAATTTTTATTTCTGCAGTTTGACTTTAGGATGGTAAATTCTTGCAATGAATTTCATAGGCTTGCCACAGCAAAAATTTTCCGAGAAAGATCAAGTAATTCATTCTAACAAGCAAGATTCATAATCTAATGACTTTTTCCTTCAGGTTTGGGCATGGAATTACGGCTCCAAGAAGAACACAATTTTGTCTCATTTTCTCAAATCTTGAATTTGAAAGTCAATTCAATCATTCAAATATTCAATTAGTTTAATCAACATGGAGTAATCTTGGCTTCGTCGTTAGATCTAGCAAGATAGCAGCTTCCTTTCTCTGACATAAAGTCAGCCATGAATAGTTTTCATATTACTCCAGAACTCATCTAAGGTCAGTGTTATTGTTAATTGTTTAGATTCTTTGATGCTGATAACGTGAAGTATTTTTCTTTATAAAAATGCCACTTGCTTTATAATCATCATCACTAATGTAATGTTGCCGCCCTTTGATTGAGACATAATGCATGGATAGAATCAAAATCATTGACATCAGTGATAAGCCTGGAAGAACGCCAACAATTGTTTTCTTTTGTTTTTCTTTTTTATAATTAATAAAGTAACGTTTACCGGATTATTTCTGATCTAAAAAAGTTTAATTATGGAAGAATTTCAAATAATGACCAGGGATGTGACTTAATTACCGGTGGGTCTTGAAAAATTTTGAAATTTTAATTTAGTCTAAAGAGATAAAAGTGAAAATAATTTCAACTGTAAAACGATTAAAGTACCCTTCACTTGTCATGCAAAATCACTAGTTGTTAATTTTTTATTTTACTTATTAATTTATCAATATCATTTATAAATTACATCCATTTGTCAGACAAGCAGTACATTAGTTGTTAATTTGCTAATTTTACTTACAATTTACTAACATTATTGTAAATTATAAGATTTGTCAGTAATTTACAATTGATGTTAGTAAATTACAAGACTTGTTAATAATTTACAACTGATATTAGTAAATTAACAAGTAAAATTAGCAATTAACAATTGATGTTACTGCTTTTGATTGAATAACTGATGTCGAGTCTTATATAATTATTCACATGTTAACTCATGTAATTTGTAACTAATATTAGTAAATTAATAATAAAGTAAGAAAATTAACAATTAGTGATTTTGTATAATAAGTGAAGGGAGTGGTCTTTTTACCGTTGAAATTGTTTACTTTTATCCCTTGAATTAAACTGAGGTTTTAAAATTTTTGAGATCCACCAATAATTAAATCACATCTTTGGTCTTCATTTGAAATTCTCCCATTAATTATTATGATGTCATTAACGCAAGTTCTTCTTCCATCTGCTTCAAGTCTTCTATCCCAGATGAGAAATTTCCCAACTTTTTCTTACCCTCATGCAAAATCACCATGTCTTGCCTAACCTAACCTTCTTTATACATTTTTTCTGTTTTTTTGGATAAAAATGTATGGATTTTCAGCCATGTTTTTCTTCGTCATTCCCATCTTATGTTTTCACCTCGTCTCTGGTTCAGACCCCCTCTTCACTTGGTGTCCACCCGAATTCCCAGATTACACACTAGACTCTACATTTCATAACAACCTCAAGCTTCTTCTAGAGTCACTTTCTTCCAACATTTCAGTTTCAGGTTTCTATAACACATCCATTGGAGAAGACCCTGTTAAGGTCTATGGACTGGCACTATGCAGGGGAGACATAAACTTAAACTCCGCAATCTGTAAGGACTGTGTTGAGAAAGCAAGCCAAGATATACTCAACAATTGCAGAAGTCAAGATGCTATGATATGGTATGAGCTTTGTCAAGTAAGATACTCCTTTCAGATGTTCTTTTCAAGGATGGTTTATACTGGGAAGTATCCGGATGAAAATAATCAAGCAAAGAACGTGTCGGATCCTGTTCGATTCAGCCAGGTTCTGATGTACTTAATGAATAACCTGTCCCGTGGGGCTGCATCGGTTTCTTCCAAGAATATGTTTGCTTCTGGGGAAATTGAATTTTCCCAGAAAATTACAATTTACGGCCAAGTACAATGCACAAGAGACATCTCTGAAACATTATGCTATAACTGCTTGATTTCTGCACTAGGAGACCTTGGAGCTTGTTGCTCATCCCGCGAAGGTGGGATAGTTCTTAGTCGAACATGCAATGTGAGGTTTGAATTGTCTCAGTTCTTCAATACTTCTTCTCAGTACCTCTTGGTTTACCCAACTTCTAAAGGTAATGTTTCTGGCTCTGATTAGTTTAATTGTATTTCCGCATAAGAAGGCATATCAATGTTATCATTAGCAGATTCTTGCCATTCATGAGCAGGAGGGAAATGGAAAACATGGATGCTTGTACTGATTATATGTGCATCAGTGTTCATATTAGCAGTTTTTATTGGTTTCTGCACTGCCTATTTCCATAAAAGACAAGAGGAAGACAGAGGTGAATTTTTTCTATAATTTTTCATCTGTTGACTATGAGAAAGTAGTGCAAGAATTACCAACCTCAGTTCTTTGGTTTTTTTTTTTCAATTTTCTTTTTCCTTGAAAACAAATTGAAATAGATGATGGAAAAAGCGAAATGATGCTACTGCAACAATTAGCGGCCCCCAAGAGTGTAACAATTACACAAGATGGAGAATTAATTAGCTCTGAAGAACTTGTGTTCATGACTTTAGCAACAATTAAGGTTGCCACTGATGACTTTTCTGAATCAAACAAGTTAGGACAAGGAGGTTTTGGTGCTGTATACAAGGTAAGATGGTCTCTGAATTTCATTTCAGCCCAAGTATTACCAAACAAGTCTTTAACAAGTGATGGTTTGATTCTTGGGAATTTCAGGGTGTCCTTGCAGATGGAAATGAAGTAGCAGTTAAAAGGTTATCGAGGAAGTCTTGGCAAGGCACAGAGGAATTCAAAAATGAGGTAATTCTGATTGCAAAACTCCAGCATAAGAATCTGGTGAAGCTGTTGGGATGCGGCTTGGAAGGAGAAGAGAAGTTTCTCATATATGAATACATGTCCAATCAAAGCCTTGACAAATTTATCTTTGGTTTGTTGACTTTCCCCCCGTTTTTGAATAAGGCTTATGTTTGTCTGTGTGGGTCACTGATTGTAGGTTTTGGTGTTTCTATAACTTCAGAATCAGAAAAACGTTCACATCTTGATTGGAACACATGCTATGGGATTATCATGGGCATAGCTAGAGGATTACTTTATCTTCATGAAGAGTCAAGACTTAGAATCATTCATAGAGACTTGAAACCAAATAATGTATTGCTTGACCATGATATGGTTGCAAAGATTTCAGATTTTGGGATGGCAAGAATTTTCTGTGAAAATCAAAGTGCTGCCAATACCAAAAGAGTTGTGGGAACATAGTAAGTTATCTCTTATTTAACTCACATAATTTAACCCACATAGTAAGTTTTAGTTTTAGTCCCAATAATAAGTTTGACTTAACTATTTTGGTCAATTGTCATGGAAATAATTGAGCGAATGTTTGGAACAATGATTAATTCTATTGTTGAAAGAATGTTTTATTGGTGAATTGAAGAATTTCATAGCCTTTTAAGATCATTAACAAATTTAAGCTAATATTTGGTCCATTGTCAACAACAACTTTGAAGAGAAACAATCACTTGGTTACTTTCATTAAAATTTAAGAAAATAGCACAAGATGTTTCAGTGAAAACCAATAAACCATAAATGAGTTGGATTTTATATTTCAAGTCAAAAAAAATTAAATATTCTGTGTCAAGTTATATTATATGCATTATACTTGATTTTATTGTATTCCATATTACTTATGATAATGTCTATAATGTTCAAAATAGTAGATATATGGCTCCAGAATATGCAATGGAGGGATTGTTTTCAGTGAAATCTGATATCTTCAGTTTTGGTGTCATTCTTCTTGAGATCGTCAATGGAAAGAGAAATAGTGGCTTTTTTACAACTGAACTTGCCCCTACCCTATTAGCATATGTACGTTTCATCAATCACTTGATATTCTATCCTTATTCCTCTTAATCAACCCATAAAATTTCAAGAAAAGTAATTTTGAATATTACAGGCTTGGAGGTTATGGAATGAAGGAAAAGACATAGACTTTGTAGATCCTCATCTATTGGAAACTTGTCTTGACTCAGAAGTTTTAAGGTGCATGCACATAGGATTGTTATGTGTACAGGAAGATCCAGAAGATAGGCCCACCATGTCAGATGTCATGGTTATGTTAGGAAGTGAATCAATGTCTCTTCCACGACCTAAACAACCTGCATTTCCTTTGGGTAGATCAATTCAAGTTGATCCATCATTGATGACAAATTCCTCCGTGAATCACATAATGCTCTCTAGTGTTCAGCCCAGATGATTTCTCACCTTGTGGCAATGTAAAGTTTTCATTAAGCATGCATGATGTTATATTATTATTAGTGTTTGATATATGATTAACACTTATATTACACCTAACATAGCATTGAATATACATATTTTGTTCAATAGCCGTGAATGAATCTTACTACTTGTCCAGTTTAGTATCTAAGCTTCTCGAGTTTCAATTCAACATGTTTTGTTAATTGTGAAAGTAAGTTTGATGCAGAATCAAATTATGAGTCTCACCAAATGACCAAATAAAAACAGAGGTGTGCAGTGCAATTATGGGCTGTCTCCTCAATTGTACCTCATGAGCTCCAACATAGCACATTTTAAAAGTAGTGGGCTCCTAAACATAAAATTTCAGACTCCAACATAAATGTAAGAAGGATGCATTTTTAAATTTAAGGAGCATGGGAGCCTGATTGCGAGTGGCAATGCGAGTTTGCGAAAGCTGACATTCATGCATGACTTGTTAGTTGACCCGGACGCCTACTCCTCCCTGTTTGAGGGTCTCTATTATCATCATGTTCCTCCTCCTGTCGCCGGAAATGGTGAAAACAGAGTAGAAAGCAAGAGCGACGACAGAGCAAGAGCACGCGGCAACAGAAATGGTGAGTTTTGGGTTTTAAGTTTTAAAAAATCTAGACCAAAAACGCAGTGTTAGTGTCGAGCTGTGCCCACCGTATCAGCCGCATCGGACGCGGACGTACGCATATCCGTGTCCGACGCCTATAGGATACTTCTGTGCTTCCTCATAGTCTAGCATCTCTTTTGTTCAATTATGTGTTGAGTGGACGAGAAGACAATGTTCCTATCCTGGGTAACATCTTCAGAATAGATCTTCATGCATATCACTTTCCATCTGTTCCAGCAGTCAAGATGACAATGTGTTTCATTTCTTTGGCTTTGCCTCTGCTTTCTTTCCTTTTTCGTCTCATCATTCTCACCGTGGCTGAGCAAGAGTTCCTCCAATTCCAATACTCCAACTGCTACTATGAAAGAGGAAACTACACAAATGAAAGCGCCTGCCACACCAACGTCGATGCCCTTCTTCGTAATTTCGCTTCCGACACCAAAATTGACTTTGGCTTTTACACTTCCTCTCAAGGCCAAAAAACCCTGACAGAGTCTACGCACTTGGACTGTCCAGAGGAGATGTGGAGTCAAGTCCTTGCCGGAGATGTCTCAGAAGTGCCACAATCCTTCTCCCAAAGAAATGTCCAAATCAAAAGCAGGTGTTTGGATACAATAACGGATGCATGCTGCGATACCCAGACCACTCAATTTTTGGGTTTTATCTGAGACCTAACAGATTTGCCGGAATTTCTTCCAAAGTGCATGCCAAAGACGTGAACTACTTCAATGAAACGGCGAATGGTCTTTTGCAAGATCTAACAAGAACAGCCGCAGCCGGCAACTCTCATCGTAAGTTCGCAGCATCAATTGCACAAGGCTTGTATCGAACACCTATATATGGCCTTGTTCAGTGCACGCCTGATTTGTCTGAGCAAGATTGCAGAAACTGCTTGGAGGATACTATCGTGTTGCTCAATTATCTTTACAAGAATCAAACTGGTGCAACGCTTTACAATTGGAACTGCATTGTTAGATAAGAGCAGTTCCTCTTCTATGATCAAGCAGTTGCCAATTCACTGCAGCTAGAGCCATCTCCATCTCCATCTGCACTAGGTATCTTTACTTAACTCAAAAGGCAAATAACAAACTCCGTCAATTAATAACATAAGTGACATGGTTGAATGCTGTTTTTTTAATAAGGACAAAGCCGTGGTAGTCGATCACAAACTATCGTCATGATTATTGTTCCCATTATTGGTTTGGTGACACTTCTTTGCTTACTGGGTTACTATCTGCTCAAGAGAAAGTCAAGGAAAAGCAGTCAAGTAGTTCTTAGAGAAAATTGTAATCTATCTTAGACATTCACTTTTACCCTTCAAAGTATGTTTATTTTAATTATAACATTTATTTTGATACTCATGAAATCGGTTCAGTTGGGGACGAAAACTCTAGCTTGACTGCCTTGCAACTTAGCTTGAATACCGTTGAAGCTGCAACAAATAACTTGTCTGAACAGAACAGAATAGGAAAAGGTGGATTTGGAGAAGTTTACAAGGTTTAATCTACCAGACTGTACTACATATAAATTTTATGTGGCCTGATTATTCGATTATGTTTCTTTAGGGCATTGTTTATGATGGGCGAGAAATTGCTATAAAGAGACTCTCAACATATTGTATTTAAGGAAAATTAGAATTCAAGAATAAAATTTTACTGATTGCCAAACTAGTGACTTAACTAGGATTTTTCTTGAAAGAACATGAGAAAATTCTTATTTATGAATACGTCCCCAAACAGAGCATTGATTTCTTTTGGTTTGGTTTGTAACTTCTAACATCATCCCTTCTTTTTGGTTGAAGTTTCCATTGCATGCTTTGTATGGATTTATTTCTGGAGGACTTATTATTATTTCTTATTTTTTCAATTGTTTGATTACCTTTTGTAGATCTTGAGAAACAAAGATCACTAAATTGGTTTGAGCATTTAAATTTATAAGAGGAGCTGTACAAGGACTTCCTTACTTGCATGAACATTCTTTTTTCAAAGTTATTTATCATAATCTCAAATTGAGTAATATTTTATTACATAACAAGATGAATTTAAAAATATTAGATTTTGACATAGCAAAAATAATTTGCTACAAATGAAGACCATGGAAGCACAAATAGAATTGTCAAGACATAATAAGTCTTAAATTCTTGTCTTGTCAATGCCAACTGATGATCTTAAGTAATAAGTTGCATGAGAAACAAAAGGAGGTTTTGTGTGTTTTGTATGTGAAACATGGCTTCCTCTGTCCTATCCTATGCATTACCTTCATGTGCAAATGCATCTTAGCATTTTTACATTATGCTAACTTTCTGTTTTGTTTTGTTTGTTTTTGTTTTTTTTTTTTTTTTGGTAGTAGTTATAGCTCCTAGATATATAATGTATGAACATTATTTCTGAAAATTTGATGTCTCTAGTTTTTAGAGTTATAGTTTTAAAAGTTCTTTGAAAAGCAGAAAACGCTAGTTTTGATGAATCATATATCTTAAATGTAAATATTAAATCTAAGCTAATTATTTTTCCTATAATATGTCGTCATATTTATCTAATCCCAATTAGCATGCTAAGTATGGCTAAAAACTGGAAATTATGAATTTGATTATCTAATATTTGAGACATTATTTCGGGTTTGGAATCAGTGGAATGAGGGTACACCGTTACAAGTATTGGACCCTTTTCTAATGGAATCTTCTTGTGATACTGAAGCAATCAAATGTGCGCAGATCAGGTTATTGTGTGTCCAATGAAATCGAGATGATAGGCCAATAATGATTCAAATTGTTTCGTATCTTACTAATGTTTTCATTGAATTACCATCTTCAAGAGAACCTTCATTCTTCATGCATTCTAAAATAATATGGTCTCTTGATATTTATTTGTAATTTAAGGAATTTAAAATGTATTAATTTTCTTCTCGGATGCTTATTTATAATTTTTGAATCTTTTTTTAATTTATTAGATTAATTAATGGTCAAAATTAACATTTTGTCGACATTAAAAGTAACAATGCACCGTTTTACTTATTAAATTATTAAGAGAAATTTTCAAAGTCAGTAATAAAATTTATCATTTAACAAATAGTTACTTGTTAAATTATTAATGGAGATTTATCATTCCAGTAATAAAAATAAATAAATATTTATAAAAATCAGTGTATATTAAATTTTTTAACAAATCTCACTAGTAATTTAATAAGTACTCATTTATAAAATAACAAGTTAACATTAAACTCCTGATAAATATTGGCATAAAAATTCAAAACAAAGTTAAAAATATATAATGATTTGCATTATATAAGTGAAAGAAATTATTAACTTAGTAATGACTATCCTATGGGTGGCCAAAAGGATGTAGGTTTAAGCCCTCTGGTTACCTT